TTCTTTCTTTGAATCTTGATTTATTGGAGATTGTTCAACAGCAATTTGACTTTCTGCATGATTTTGTCTATTTTGATTCGATTGTTTCAACATATTAGCTGGATTTTTTTCCATTACATTGTGACTACTTTATCTAATTCTTTTGTTAATTTAGTTGATATATATATATTCTCTAATGATTCTATTCAATTGTTCTGCTCTTGTTTCGACAAGGTTCTTATTAATGTTTTTTCTATAAATATTCTGATTTTCTTTGGTAGTATCTTCAATAATATCTTTTAAAGTATTACAAAGACATGTTCGAACTGTAAGACAGATTGAACTACAGTCCACAACTTATTAATGATATCTATTGCTTTAAGAGTAGTAGCAGCTATTTTAACGCATTTTAAATTTGATTTCTTTACAACTAAAAGTACCTGATATTAAAGCATTGCCTATCTGAGTCAAACCAAAGGCTACTAAAACAGCTCCGGCAATGACTTGAACGGGTCCTATCATTGCAACGGCAAAAGCATTCCAATCCCACCAAGATTTATCTTCTTCAATAATCAAAAATTTATTAAGGTTAAAACCTTCAAAAAAATCTTAATTCACTTGGAACATTTTCTTGATCTTGAAGATCTATAAAATCTTTTAAATTAGCTTTTAAACCTGTTTTAAATGGACGAATATCTCCTTATATTCGACAAAATTAATTCTTTATCATTTTCAAATTGAATACTTTTTAAAATTTTATTTAAAATTCTTTCAATATTTCTTTTAATATCTCCATATTTATATTTGGCAAGTCCACCAGACTTTAAAATATTTTTTTCTTTTAGATAAATTCGAATATTATTTCCTTCTTCTTCTTTAATAGTAAATGGTAAATCTGTTTGATAAAAATATTGATTTTGTTGACTAATATTATCTTTTAATTCTATTAAAAATGTTTTAAGATCTTTTGTTTCATGACCATTATCATTAAATTTAATTTTCGCATATTTTCCTTTCTATTGATTGTTCAAATAGAGAAATATTAACTTGTTGTGGATCTATTTTATCTTCTAAATCTTTCCAAACATTTTCATATATCCGTGGTAATTCTTTTTCTATTCTATTTATATTTAAAGTTTGCCATAATTCTTCACTATAACAAACAATATCGTCGAAATCTTTTTTTTCAAAAGAAGATTTACTATTTAATAAACTAATTAATGGATCGGCAATCGAAGGATCAAGATCATTTCGAATTATCTTTTCTATTTTATCTCGCTCTTGTGAATTATTTCGAAATCTTTTTCTTATTGTATCTCCTTGAATAATTTCATGTTGAACTAAAAGTGAATATAATTCTGTTCCTTTATCTTGGTTTTCACGAGGTAAACTTTGTTCATCTTTTGGATGTAAAATAAAATGAAATGGTTCTACTGTATCTCCAACAGCTTCTAATTTTCCTGTTATTTAATCTTGATAAGAATTTTCTTTTGAAGAAATTTTTTTGAAGGGTGTGGGTGTGGGTAGGGGTCTTCTCTTTATCTACACCCACACCCAAATTTGAACCTAGCTCTACACTATTAGAGAACTTAAAGAGAAATCTCTGATCAAAATGCACTTTTTCCTGGAAACGAACTTTCTTCAAAATAAAAGGCAAAGCAACCAGACTATTTAATTTAAATTGATTACAATAGCTGATTTTCCACATTAATCGTTTGAATAAGAAAACAATTATTAATGCCTTCATTCAATTTACTAATTTAATCAAATAAATAACAGACACAACAGATATACAAAGAGGTCAATACCAAAAAAAATCATATTGGATTTCTTCATATGAAAATAGTGGCAAAGAGTTCGTCTGTCTTGATATAAAAATTCAAAAATTATTTTTCTCTTATGCAACCATGATCATATGATGCCTGATCTGTTGTACCTATTCATACTAATTGAATCTTGCGATCAGCAGTTCATATGAGTAAGATTTCTGGACTAATGACTATTTGAATTGAACTGAGGTCATTTGAAAAAAGAAACATAAATTAAATTTGAATAAATATTAGAACATAAAGAAAATTGTTTATGAATCTTATCAAAAGACTCATTGTTTAATACGTTACAATCGGGAGAAGTTACTTGATATTTTAAACAAAAAACTTTACACAAATATTCTTTAAGCATCAACATCAATCTGAATTCTATCATACATATCGAATATAAGTATGTCAATAAATTTTTTATTATAAGCCTTTTTATTGATAGAAACTTCTCATAAAAGTAACGAGAAGGATATCATTTCATAGGGGAACATTTGCAATTTTCTTTAAATATGATTTAGATCAAATTTTTCTTCTACTTTTCAAAGATTCACTTATACTTCTTAACATATGGTTCTTATGAAAATTCTTTTACACGCATAGAACGTTAACACATCTTTATCAAAATTTTTTCATTGAAAGTCTAATGAGAAAAGAAATATATGGTTGATTAATTAATTGATTTATTATTATTGAGATTTCTGTTACAAAATCAATATTTGATCCTTACATAATTTGATTTCTAAAAAGGCAGAGACACTTTTCAGTCAACGAAATTAACGTACTTCGAGTATAACAAAACTTTTTCTTATTATTGTCAACAGATAACAAACTAATTGAAATTATAAGATTTAAATAAATAAATATAAAGCATAAATAAAGATACCTCATATTCAGATCAATTTTATTAACTAATAATCTTAGTAATTTCCTTTTATACATTATTTTATTATTTCTTTAGTTCAATTATTCATTGTAACAAGCTCTCTTCAAATGAAATGTCTTGCTTGTACATTTTCTCACCTATTATTTACTCACGTTTGTTCACTTATTTTGGAAAGAAAAACAAAATAAATATCGCAATAAAAGTGTCCCTTTTACAAACACTCGATAACTACATCAGTTCATTGCATAACGAAATCGGCAAAAAAATACCAATTGAACAATGTCTATATTGATGAGAGAATTAAATAGTTTTTTATGACTATATTAATCAATGAAAACCCTTCAATTTGTTCTTTTGTCATATCAATTACGGAAATCAAGATAATTCTAATAAAAAATATTCTAGTCTAGCTATGTATATACCTATTTAATTAATACTTTTTCTAATTGTCTTTATAAAATTATGGAAAACGGATGTATGTCCGAATATGCCTGTATTATTTTCAAAAACATCAAAACTTAACAAGAAAAATACACAAATAAGTTGTTGAGTATATTTTCTTTTTTTTTGTGAAACTTCATAACATCCCCATCCAATCGAAACAAAGAATATACCGATAATAATTTGACGAAAGATTTAAATAAACTAAATACTATGAAAACAAAAGAAAGTTCTTTTATCTGTTTAACAATTTCTGTAAGAGAGAAAAAAATCATATGAAATGCACGAATACACCTACAATGGTCTATTACTATCATGAAATCATCAGATTGACAAGTTTATTTTTTTTTACTTAGATTTGTTTTTATCGTCTATGAAGTTGCAATCTCTAAAAACACAGAATATACTTCATTTAATTCTAAGCATATGATATAATTTCATAGACAGCGATTTTTTCAGTAACTAGAAACAATTATCTATTTCATTGATTAATATTAAAAATTCGTAAATATTTAAACAAACTCAATAGATTTGGTCAATAAAAGCATTTAGTTTTTGAAATTTTCAATGAACAAAACAATTCTGTTCTTTCTTATATTTCTCAACTGTCATGATTCAGTTGATATCATCAATTAACCGATTTCACTTGCGCCTTGTGACAAGCGATACATTGTTCAAATGGAAAGAAAAAATTTTCACAAATGAAGTAAGAGCACGACATTCCTCTTGTCTTCACGCATTACATTAGATTACGTTGAAAAGAAAGTGAAATGTGTAAAAATGATAGTGCTTATAAAATCTAAACTCAATTCATTCTTTCTACTAACATATTATCGTATGCAGTTTAGTATAAAAACCTATTCCCAAAAGCTAGAAATAGTATCGTTTTTGTCTCACTGTTTTCTATTCATAATCAGTAAAATGAGTAATTTTTTGCCTGTAGATAGACGTGGAAAACAAAAAAAAACAACAATAACATAAACTGAATAATCAGCTCTATATTTTGGGAGGAATTCATGACTACTAGTGTATGTCCCTCAACATTCGTTTTCTTTATATATCCACAATCACGAAATAATTTATATTCATCACTATTTCTCTGAATTTGTGAATGCAATTGAATACATATATAAAAATCAGTAATACAGGTCATTGATAGTTTGTTGTGATATTTACAGAACGTGCTTATCGAAAAGATTTATTTTATACAGTTATCCTTCATAATAAGTAAATGATAGTTACTCCTTTATTACATTTATTGTCTATTCATAATTGATACATATGGCCAAGAAAATTCAATTTTATCTTATGGCAGATTTTGATGATTATACCCATGTCAATATCTCAACTATTCTCAAAATGAAGATTACATTTTCTACAAAGTTAATATGTTCAATGAATCAGGCTTTGTAATCAAACGAGAAGTCTTCATTAAAATCAACTCGAGTTGATGAATTAACTTGTCTTGAGTCCTTATATAAAGATGAACCATTACAGTACAGTAGAAGTTGGGTTATGTACGTGAAACTAAGAAATGTTTAAATTTTTTATAAAACAGAAAAGAAAGGCAATAACTGATAATTACTTTCTATAGGTATCATCTAATAAATTATAAAATTTTCTGATTACATTTTCTCTTTCTTTTGAAATTTAAAAAGAAAAACAAGGTTAAGTTACTCATACAATTTTACGTTTCCTTTTATCTATCAAAAGAAAGTATGTAAGGCAGAGTGGAAAAAAAACTACTAATTCAAAAAATTCATTTTTGAGACAAAAACATTTTATGTTACGAAATCATTATATTTTGGATTTATCGATAAATAAATACTTGTTCGACTGCCCTCAGTTATAGAGAAACGTCAATTTTTTTTTGTTTTTCGTTTTGCTAGGATTTCATCAATCAATCAGTTTCATTTTGTAGAAGATATTTTGAAAAATAAAATGCTATAACATGAGAAGATTGAAAAATAAATTAAAACAACAA